GCTGAGGTTGGCTTTGAACTCGTGATTTTCCTGCCTTAGCCTCCCAAACTGCTGGGATTACAGGCGTGTGCCAACGAGCCTAGTCAGTCGACTGTTTCTTATCTTAGCATACAAACCTTATGTTATAGCCAAATTAGTCTATTTGCTTCCAAGATTATATGAGATCAGGCACATTCAGGGTGGTTTGGGTATAACTATTTGCTCTTTAACTCACTTCCTTTCTGTTTATATGGCCTTTTCTTTGCTTTAAGGCACAACTCAAGGACTGTCTCTTCTGCAGTCTTCCTCTTTTGCACACCTTTCTGTACCACTCATTAGTCATTTCCTCTATATCACCCTTTTTATTTATCTTATCATGTACTTATTTCCCCAGTGGCACTAGGGAACTGCCCAAATGGCAGTAGAAACAAAAGAATCAGTCCTGGGGGAAAAGAGGCTTCCTTCCTGTGAGTATCCCCTCCTCCTTGCATTTACCAGGTAGCAAGATCCCATATAAACCATTTAAATTTTCTAATCCAAAGTCACAGTACTCATTGTTGTTTGTTGGCATTCACAAGCTTTTGCCATAAGGCCCCATTTAGGCTCCATCTATAGCTATCACACCAAGAATTTATCCATCCCAGCAATCCAGCTTCTATTCTATAACCTTTTGGCTTGGGTGATCACACTGGTTCCCATATAGCACATTCAACTAATATTGCTTGACAGATGGGTTTACATGCCTTCCATTTTATGCTATTAGGTAAATAGTGATAGATTATTTTCTGTTATAGAGAAATCATGTTTTATAGAGTTTTAAAAACATATTTGGGAAGCCAGACACAGTGATACACACCTGTAATCCCAGTAACTTGGGAGACTGAGGCAGGGATATCACAAATTCAAGGCCAACATCAGCAGTGTAGCAAGACTTTCAAAGTAAAAAAGGACTGGGCATGTAGCTCAGTGATAAAGGGCCCTGGGATCAAAACCCAGTACCAAAAAACCACATGTGGGACTGGGAGTATAGATCAGTGGTGGAGCACTTGCCTAGCATGAATGAGGCACTGGGTTCAATCCACTATAAATAAAACAAAGCAGCCAAAAACAAGACAAAATAAACAAACAACAAAAAAGCTAAAACTTTAACTAGAAGAAAGGAATCATCTAACATGTTGCTTAATGTTAGTTGTTTTTTGTCTCCCTTAGGCTGACATTTTGGATGTCAATCAGATATTTAAAGATTTGGCCATGATGATCCATGACCAAGGTGATCTGATTGGTATGTATTATTGATACCTTTAATATCAAGGTGAGTTGAAAGTATTTGTGTGCCAAGAAGTCAGTAAGATGTGTCAAATATAGAACTAAAGTTTGGGATTATAATTTTAAAATTACTAAATTCATTTTCTTAGTAATATTCATATATTGTCAAATGTGGAAGGTAAAGAGAGGCCTTTGTGAATAATTAGCCCTATTCACTTGCCATAGCTTCTTGGGAAGTCTTTGCTTAAACAAATAGCTATCAGCTTCCCAGCTTTTCTCTCCAGATACTTGCACAATTATGGGATTCATGACTTTTTAAAAACTTTTTATGTGAAATTAATCTTAAGTTTATAAAAAGTTTTTAAAAATACAGGGAACTTGGGCTGGGGATATAGCTCAGTTGGTAGAGTGTTTGCCTTGCATGCACAAAGCCATGGGTTCAATCCCCAGCACCACCAAAAAAAAAAAAAAAAACAACCAAAAAAACAAGGAACTCCTTTATACCCTTTACTCAAATTTACATCTTGTTATCATTCTGCCCCATTGACTTTGTTTGTACTCTCACTCTGTGTGTGTACATGTATGTGTCTGTGTTGTGTATATATCCAAACAGGATATTGGATTTTCACTTTGGAATTGCCATCCACAAACCAAGCAGCTCTTTGTTGGTCAGTGGAAAACTGCGCTACACACACAGAATGTTTTTATGTATTTTTTTTCTGAACCATTTAGTCACATAGTTCTTAAATCCTTATCCCTAAATACTTCAGTGTTTATTTCCAAAGAATAGGGTTATTCTCTTACTGAGGTAGTAACTTTTGATTTCATGACTGGTGATAGCAAATCCAGGACTCATAATATCCAAGTGTGCTAAAATTTCCCCTGTCCTTTTTGCAGATAGCATAGAAGCCAATGTGGAAAGCTCAGAGGTGCATGTTGAAAGAGCCACTGATCAGTTACAGCGAGCTGCTTACTATCAGGTAAAAGTAGATACCAAAGAAGGTCATTCTGTATTGCACACTTTATAGGCCATCAGGGTACATTGACACATTAAACAGCTGCAGCCTCTTCTTTAGGCTTAAGCTGGAGGCAAGTAGTCATAATTGTTTTGCTGGTTCTGTTTTAGTATTTTCCTTTACCTGGTCGAATCTTGAATAAATTTATACAAAACCCTCTTAGCTGCAAAGCTAACCCCATAAGCTAGCCATAATAGCTGAACCTAGAATGAGAATAATCTTATATCCTAAGCAGCTGAAATGTATTTGAGTTAGGATAGTAAGAGGTACAGGTAAAGTGGGGTTTCATAGATACTGGCTATAGAAGATGGACATAGAATCAACTATAATAGCTACTTATATGTGAATAAATAAGGCTTAATTATTATTAAGCTATGCCTATAAAGTGAAATTCTTCCACTTATTAGTTGAGACTCTGGTTTTATGAATTTTTGGTCTTTATTTCAATGTACAAATATTGTAAATAAGTCCTTCTTATTTCCCTTCAATTTAGGTTGCACGTTTTTTGTTTGTTTTTTTTTAATAAATAAATAGCATTTCAGTCACTTTCCAGAAAATACTTTTCAGGGTATATTTTATCTGGGAATGCTCTATAAAAACTAGGTGATGGCTTTAGTGTCCATTACATATATACCCACTTGATGTTGTATGATGTTTAAATTAAGAGATGTTTATGAAGAGTTTATAATAACAAAAATGTTGATGATAAACATTGAGAAAAATATCAAAATCATACAGTATGATCCCAATTATGTTGGACAACAATATGCATATGTAAGAGATAAGAATGCAGTCAGTTGTTTTATCAGTGGGTGATTTTCTCTTTTTGCTTTTTTTTTTTCAATACAATGAACATAAAATTTTATAATAGGTATAAAACTGTTACTAAAATACATGTACAAATCACTTACTGCAAATAATGCCTAACAGCATAGGTATATGCAAAACTATTTGGGAACAATTAAAATCTGTATTACTGCCTGCTGGTGGTAACTTAGAGATTTTGGGGAAGTCTCTTCATATTTGTGCATGGGTAGAGTTGATTTTGAATTATAAGGAGGCAAATTTATGAAGCACTCTTGGAGTCTAATTAGATATAGAAAATTTTACTTGTTTCATGAGTGTCTTCATTTCTTTCCTCAGAAAAAATCTCGCAAGAAGATGTGTATCCTGGTACTTGTCCTGTCAGTGATTATTGGAGTCTTGATAGTTATTATCTGGCAAGTTTCTAAATGAAGTGTGACTGCCTCAGAGCCTTCTGCTGAGTTGTTTTCAAAAGCAAGTGCTTGTTGGAGTCTTGCGAGAACAAACTGATCACAAGAAGAGAGCATACACCAGAATGTCCTGTAATAATTTAGTTAGAAACTAACTACTAACTAGTCCTTGGAATTAGTGACCTATGGAGACAGTATTTATCAATTTATGTATACAATTTATTGATTTCTCAAATTAGGAATTAACTTATATGAATCTTGCTTTCTCTTGTTTTCTGATTGCCCTTCATTCCAGGTGTTTACTGAAAATTCCATTCTACATATTCTTTTTGACAGACGACACTACAGTCTCATTATATTGTCTTTTTATGTATATATAAAATTTACCTTTTTACTAGCAACTGAGATGAATTACTTTCTGGGACCCAGCATATTGGAGTCTGTCAGAAACTGTACAATATGCCAGCAATTTTTATTATTTAACATTCTAATTTGAATTTATAAGAAGTTTATTACCTGTTTTGCAAAATTTTGGCACTATATTTAACTGGAGAATACCTGTGATTTAAATTGAATGAGATGAGAAGTTATCTGTTTGAACTGGCTGGTTGCTAGGTATGTGTTTTAATTGAGTTTGAAGTTTACTTTATCTGCTAGTGTCATCCACAGCAGTTCATCCTCATATACACTAAGCCATCTTGCTTCCTTTTCAAAGAGGTTAATTTAATCAATATTAATGTACTCTATGGGTCCTTCTCCCACCTGTCTGCAAAGAAAGGGAGAATTAGACATAGCATGCTTTTGGAAAGCAAATAGGAATTGTTTGGAATGATTTAATCTTTCTGTTGTTGTTGTTCACTTGTGGTTTTACATTCCTGGTGAATGATGAATTTGCTGTCAAAAGGCTGCCCCTACCCTGTAAGGGTTTCTGGGCATTTGATGGCAGAGAGATTTTAAAAGTTAAACTGAAGTGGATTTAAAACTTAGTCCTGTGAACCTGGTGATAAAGCAAAGGTTCATTTTTGTAAATAATACTGGTTTGGTATAGTGATGTTAGACTCATTCTAATTTATGAGTAAATAAAACTCCATGCATAGTTTTAGACAAAAAAGATTCAATAAAAGATTGCTGTCCTGTAATATAAATGTTGTCCACTTCCCTTTTTCACAGGCCTAGGTACATAAATGTGGACAGGGCCAACAATTATAGTTCATCCTTTAGTGAATTTAAAGATTTGGCTACTTAACATATATTTATGTTCATTTCTTTCAGATGCCCTTAATGCTAATTAATTTTCTTGTACTAAATTAATGTGAAAAGCAGGGAAACAAGAGCCTAAATGCATAAGTTTCTTTGCACTTTTGCACCATTCTACCTATTTAATACAAATAAACATTTGAAAAGCTTTTGTAGTGAGTTTTTTAAAATGTTTTTTTAATTGTAGTTGTATACAATACCTTTATTTTATTTATTTATTTATTTTTTATTAATAAACAATTTTTTATGAACTATTACAACAAAGAACTTCAGCAAGAAGGAAAATGAAGTTTATGATCTTTGAGTAAACATTTTTAGCGTAACAGTCTCTGTGACCAGATATTGGAAGAGAAAAATCAAGCTTATAAAACACCATTTCTCTATCAACTGGAATACACTAAAAATAGGATAATGGAAATACATGTTCTTAAAGCATTTCCACAGGAAATGTCCATAATTATGACATTCTAAATCATTTAGCAATTGTATATGCTACATTAACTAAAACAAAGGTATTCCTTATTGCACGTTTTAAAGTTGGAAGGATACTCTAGCTTAAGTGGGGGATATTTAGGGGGAAAATATTTTGGCTCAAAATGTGTACTGCACCAAGGCAGCTTCATTCTAAAAACATAAACCATTTAAAATAAACTTTTATATTTTGAAGCCAATAATCCTTTAACACAATGAATAGTTCATAATCCACTTTCTGACTAAGTGTCAGAGGTTAATTTTATGGGCCCAGTTTTAAGGCCTGTGAACAGCCCTCACTACTCTGAGAATCAGGTGTAGGTGGAGGTTCATCTTTAAAGCCTGAAGGCATTAAGTCTTTTGCAACAGGTGGTGGCCCATAGTCTTGGGGACCATGAGTTGGAGGTGGTAATGGGGCACCAGGAATGAAGTACTCTCTTGGGCCAAATGAGCCTAAAGGTCTAAATGGTGCGGGTCCTGGAAAAAAAACACGAGGGTCAAAAGGCAAATCCCGATTTCCAGGTGGAACACCTGGTGCATATTCTCTGAAGCCTATTGGTGGACGCATACCAGGACCAAATGGTGGAGGAATTGGCCGAGGCCCAAAAGGCCCATCGAACTGAAGTGGCGGTCCATACCAAATGGGAGGTGGTGGAGGCCGTCCCATAGGGGGTCCCATCAGGGGGCCCATGAAGGGTACCCCTGAGAAAGGAGGGGGCCCTTTCATAGCCATATTAACCTTGCCCTCATCTGTCACCTTAGCTGGAGAAGAACTTCTGGAGCTGCTGTTCATGTGAGCTGGACCACATCCTGGGTCAAATCCATTTATAGGCATATCTCTTCGATTAAGGGTAGCAGAAGGAGGTCTCCCAGCTGGCTCTGCTGTCAGTGGAGGGGAACATTCTCCACCACTCACGGGGGATGGACCAAAAGAGCCATTCTGGCTCAGGGGACCTCTCCGAGGAGGATTTTGTAAATTTGGTCTTCCTGGCATTGGTTTTACAATCACAGGTTCTTCTTGCCGCATTGCCATCTTTTGGGCCATTTCCAATAGTTTCTGTCTCAAATTAGCAGCTTCCCTTTTCTCTTCAGCTATAGCTCTTTCTGCAGAACGAGCTTTGAGCCAATTATCATGAGCTTTCTTCTCTTGCATACAATCTGGTTTTTAAATGAGCGCTCGGTTTTCTGTAATTCTTCTTCCATCTCTTCAATTCTCCGCTTGTAATTTTTAACTTCCTCTACAGTGGAAACCACCTTTTCTTCTGCAGCTGACAGCCGCTGCTCTTTTTCTAGTCTCTCATATTCTTCTTGACTCAGTTTCTTTTGTAGTGCCATCTCATTTTGCTGGTAGAGTTCATTTAAAATCTCCACTTTCTGCCTTAGAGTTTTACATTCCTCTTCCAGTCCAACTTTAGAAGACTGTAGTGAACTGCAGTTACTTTCTAATTTCTTTATTTGGTCTTCTAGATTACAGTTTGTGGACATCGAGGCTCTTAGCTTAAGTTGTAAAAGTTTTAGATCCTCTTCAACTACTGATATTGTAGTTTGTGTCCGAGAGACATCCATCATCTGCTTAATTTGATCTTTGATCTTCTTATTCCGATCACCTGCTACCTCTCCATTGGTTAATTCATCTGACTCATCTTCTCTATTTTGATCCTCAGATTCAGATTCACATTGTAACCAATTCAACTGTGTGATACAATTAGTCAAAGCATTAATAGTATCTTCTTTGTGACTAAGAGCTACTTGTAAATCTTTCTGGGACTTCTCAAATGATTTGATTTGTTCACTGAGCTCAGCATGTGATGTACTCCAGTCTTTGACTTCCTGCTGCAACTGCTCTTTCTTCTTCTTAAGCATGGTATTTTCTTTCTGAAGCCGACAGCATTCCAACTTCACCTTCTATTCACGAAGCTTAGCTTCATTAAGGACAATTTGAAGCTCTGAAAGTTCAGAAGTATTCACTGAAATGACCTCTTTAAGCTTCTCTATCAATTTCTTATTTTCCATTATCAAGTCCTGATTCTTAGCTTTCTGTTCTCTCTCAGATTCTAACATAACATGAAGACTTTTAGCTCTCTCATCCAGAAGTTCTTTAACTTTTTCAAGAAGCTTCATTTTATCCTTATATTTAGTTGCTTCATCAGAAAGAATCATATTTTGCTTCATGATTTCTTTGACCTGTTCCTTCATCTTCTGTTCATAATTTGACAATTTCTGCTTCAGTTCTTCATTTTCTTTCGTGAAATTGTTCACCTTTTGGGAAATTTGCTGTTCATTGACTTGATATACTCTATCTTTTACAACAAGAATAGTTTTCCAAAAGAAAACGACAAAGGATACAAATCCAAACAAAACAGTGAAAACTACAGGCTTCCATGGTAGTCCATAAAAATCAGGCCCAGGTTGAGTATCATCAGGCAATGTAATAAACAGCGTCTTAGAGAAATAAAGCAAGAATGAATATAACAAGAAAAGTATGTTGTCCAAAAGGGTGGCATCTGCTGGCTCTTCCACCTTTATCTCTAGATGGTTTTCTGTATCAGCAGCATCAACAGGAGTACCTTCTGTTATAAGTAGCTCTAAAAGCAGAAGTGAGAAAAGATGATTGAAGGTATCTCAACATCCCTCTTTTTTTTTTCACTGAGAGGTTAAGATTTCTGTTGCAATAGCTAGGGATTGCATTGTCATTTCAGATGAATCTCAAGTCTGCAGTTAGGAGAGGATTAAGGGTTATTTCAGCTAGCTCCTTCTGAATTCTTTTAGCACTAGTGGATAACTTAGCAGTGGTTTTGCTAGAGAGTTTGGTGCTCTTCTTCTGCTGGGTGGCAGAAGGTTCTTTCTTCATGATCTTCAGGCTCTGGAGCAGCAGGGTCTTCCTGGTCCGAATTTGAACTGCCACTGCTGGTGCTGGGGCTGTCATCATCGGACATTTGCTTATCACTGGCCATTTGATGAAGTTATCACTTGGAAAACTCGCGGGAATAACGAAGCCGCGAACGAGGCGGTGGCGGCGGCGGCGGCCGCAGGCACCCTGGCTGCCACCCCCACGCCGACGCCGACGCCGACCTATTTATTTATTTTTATGTGGTTCTGAGGATCAAACCTAGTGCCTCGCATGTGCTAGGCAAGTGCTCTACCACTGAGCCACAACCCCAGGCCTGTAATAAGTTTTTATGAGTTAACATCCTAATGAGATAGATACTAAAGAAACATGCTGTCATGAGAAAAATTGAGACTTGCAAGACTGGAGACCTGATGAAGGTCCAGCGCGGGTGGAAGTAAGTTGAAAGAGGATAGAGCTGTTGGAGTGGCACAGTGGCACAGTTCTGGTTCACTGCCTTTCTGCTCCAAATTACCGTTGGACTTGGATATATCATTTGTAAACATTCCAGAAAAGGAAAAGTTTTGATTGTGGAAAACTAGTTGAATCTAGGTAAAATAAAGTGACCATAGTTCTATTCTGTAGTACTGTGTGATCAGTGGTGGTTGTAATGATGGTCACAGTGAGCAAATATGAACTTTGCCTAGGATTTGTGGCAGGTGCCAAAGGACTTGCTAGATGGGCCTAATAAACTTATTCACAGAGTCCTCCTTCCCTCTGCCTTTCTTCTCTTTGGAACCACTATGATCTGGGACAGTGGTTCTTAACTATGACTTTTAATTAAAACTTTAAAAAATACTGATACCTTAGCCTCCCCACCCCAAGATTCTAATTCCATTAGTCTGGACAATGGTTTGGGCATGGGAATTTTTTAAAGCTCCGGGTAATTCTTATGTGTAGTCATGGTGAGAACCATTGGCGTGGAGGTCAAAAAGTAGACTGGATTACAAAAGACCTGTAGAATTTTAGCTCTGCCATTAACTTACTGAGGCTACTTGGACAGATCACTTAACCCATAGGCCCCAAATTTCTCAATAGTTCTTTCCAGCTATAAAATTGACTAGAAAGATGATGGGTTTAGTATGAACATACAAATTGTATGTTTGCCTTTCTACTCCCTTTTCCTCTTCTCATATCCTATTCTACCTTCCTTTACTGAAATGTTCTAGGAGCATCCTCTCTTTAAATGAATTAAAACTTGTACGAGTAAAGTAGAAATGTCATTCTGGCCACTTCATCTGGGGATGTTTTAGAACAAGAACTTGCTAAATGATAAGACTGATGCTCCCAGAGGGTGTGTGTGTGTGTGTGTGTGTGTGTGTGTGTGTGTGATTTCTGTAAGGACTGGAAATGGGAGTGTTCACCCACTGCAATGCACAATCTAGCTCTCAAACCAAACTTTTACTGTCTTGCATCATTGGGCAAAAACATTAAAATGAGTTTATTCTGTCCGTGCAAAGCAAAACACTCAGCCTCTTGCATTCAGTTTTTCTTTCTATTCACAGACTTAGTCATGATTGTGAAAAACTAGTTGAATCTAGGTAAAATAAAATGACCATAGTTATGGAAATGCAACTTTTGCTTTTGATCACTAAGTGCAGAGCAGAGCTTCACTTATGTCTCAGTCTAGCATCCTGTTCCATAAGCTAGGAATCACCTGCTTCTTCTCTGCTTTTCCAAGCATATTGAATGTATCCTTAAGCTTCAAAGGATTTTTTCAGTTTTACTTTTCAGTACCACAAAATAGAATTACTTTAGAATCTCCATTTAACCAAGATATGGTTGAAAGATTTTGATTCTTAGCCCATGATCTACTTTTGGACCAACTGAGTTGCTCATTTGAATACCTCATCTAAATGAAATTTGATTCACAATATATCACTAATTTGTGTGTGAGTGTGTGGGGGGGTATTGAACCTAGGGTCTCCTGCACACTAGGCAAGCACTCTATCACTGAGCTATATCCCTAATCTAATGTTTAAGAAATAAATTTGCAATAATACAGTCTTTAGTGTTGGTTTATGATCAAGGATCAAGTTTATAACAGTCCATGGAGAAACGAGAAAAATGAAGTGGTGGCCTTACCCACCCCCACCTCCAAGTTTCTGGGAATCCAATCTCGGTCCTCACACATGCTAGATAAGTCTCTACTACTAAGCTAACATCCCTATTGTCTTCCAACTTTTAAAAAAGGCTGGGGGTAAATTGGTAAAGCTCAATATGTGCAAGGCCCCAGTTTCAATCCCCAGCAACATACACACACAGAGTGTTTTAATATTATTGAAGTAAAATGCTGGTGATATTAAGTGGCAGACTTCATTTTTAAAAATCTAATTGGCAAAATAAAAAAATGCTACCCTGTATTGCATTATATTGACTGGTCCATGACATCTCTAAAGTCCTGAATTATCCATGTAGACTAGCCTCATTATTTTACAGTGAAAGGCCTGAGGCAGGAATAGCAGTCTAATAAGGAATTGAAAGGCTTGAGAGGATGCTCGGTATGTGAATGGTCATTTGTGGAATATTTTAACCCTAATGGCAAGATACTATGCTAAATGTTTTATATTTATTTTATTAACTTACAAAGCTATGTGACGACTCCCTTTTTAATGGCTCAGAAAGCTGAAGTATAGTAAGTTATCTGCCTATAGTCATACAGCTTACAAGTGACAGAGCCAGGATTTAATTAAGTACTCAGGCTTCAAAACTACACCTTTAGACACTGTATACTGTCTCCATGCATCGCTAATAAATAGATCTTTTGATGTCCTGCTTGCCATCTCTTCCACAAAGCTTTCCCTAAAATTGTGGGGTTTTTTTGTTTTGTTACAGGAAGGGGAATGGGGATTGAACCCAGCAGGTTTAACCACCGAGCCATATTCCCATCCCTTTTTATTTTTTACTTTTGAGATAGGGTCTTACTAATTGCTTAGGGCCTTGCTAAATTGCTGAATCTGTCTTTGAACTTGCCTCAGCCTCCTGAATTGCTGGGATTATAGGTATGCACCACCATGCTTGTAAGTCCCTAAAAATCTGAGGAAATGATCATTTCTACCCAACTTCTCATGAACATTCTTTCTTATGTCAGCACGTTGTGCACTTCTTTTCATTTACCACCCTATTAAATGAAGCTTCCAGCTTATATTGTCTACACATACAATTTTTCAAATGGATTATACTCCATTTGATCATTCATAAGTCATATCAAAGATGCTTTAAAGTTTTTTGACACTGATATGTTCCTAATGTCTTTAGATTCTAGTCCACTCTTTGTTACCAAAATCCAAAGGCAGTTAGTTCAACAGTCTCCATTTTAAAAGGTGAAAGGCCTGCATTACTGTCCTCCAGTTTGCTGGTCTGTACTGACATCATTGGCGACCAAACAAAGAGCATTTTGCTTTATAAGGACCTGGGTAAATGTAAGGTCCCATTACATCAGAGGCCAGTGTGAATATCAGCTTAGCTGGAAATGGGGAACATGGCCAAGGAGTAAAGAATTATAAGGGTAAGATTATAACTTTTAGGGTTCTTGGCTGTATGGATTATACTGGAAGGACCATGTGAAGAAGCTGAGAAATTGAAAGGCAAAGTTGAAATAAGATTTTGTCAGGTCATTGATAGCTAGAAATGGCTTCAACATCACCTCATCCCTGAAAGGGGCATGAACCTCAAAGGCCCATATAATCACTGTAGATAAAAAGTATGTTATTCTTTTCTGTTACAAATCAGAACATGTTTGAGACTATTTCCTTCTTTCTAAAGAATCGTATCCTTGTGCTTAAAGGAGGGAGCCATAGGAGTACTTGTTTTCTTTTGTTTGGTGCTGGGGATTGAACCCAGGGCCCTGTGCATGCAAGGTAAGCACTCTACCAACTGAGCTATATCCCCAGCCCTAGAATTACTTCTTTCCTTGAAATTAAGTTTAGGAATAGGATTTTTCCTATCTGCCTGGTCTTAATTTGGAATCACCAGACTGAAAAGGGGGATATGAATTCATTAATTACCAAATTCTTAATTATGTATTTCAACAAAATTAACAACAGATGCATCAGTTTCCCATAGGTTAGAAATTATAATCTAGAGCTTGTACGTCCTTTACATATTTTTTCAAACACTAACCATTCACCTATTACTTTTCTCAAAAGAAAATATCTCCAATAACATAATTATTTCAAAGTTACCATAAGTAGCATATTTGTTGCCCAAGTTTTTATAGGTGTTCTACATCTGGAACAATGGGACAAAATGGGTTTACAGGCCATTTGATAAGTGATCTGATTATCTGGATGAGTTTATTGTGCTTTGAAGACCAGAGTTAAAAGTGATTCTTTAACCTACCTAGGAGTTTATCATTTTAAATTTCAAGTTAATATTGCAGTTAAATCTTGAGTACCAGAGACTTCACTACAGGCAAAATCTTCTGAATAGGCTGATTTTCTACATATGATCTATACAGTACCAGCAGAAGGGAATCAATAAAGGAAACTTCCATCATACAAAGATGATTCCATATTTTGTTGAGCAACACCTGTTTCTGGGTAATGATAATGATGCAATTCATTTCTTTAAAATAAAAACTGCAGGTTTGATAATTCTCTGACTTCCGGCAAAAGTAAAAAATGGGCCATCTGTTGCATACCAATAAATATTATAACAAAATAAAAGTATGAGAGATGGTAGTTATTAATGAGCATTTGGCATTAAGTAGACTCAGGGATCATAATAATCCTTATCTCAAAGAGTGTTGTATTGCCAGGGCCAGTTACAAACGCTTATAATCCCAGCAACTCAGGAGGCTGAGGCAGGAGGTGGTTGCAAGGCCAGCCTCAGCAATTTAGCAAAGCCCTAAGCAACTTAGGGAGACCCTGTCTTAAAAATTTCAAAAAATAGGGATGGGGTAGGCGCTGGGGATGTAGCTCAGGGATAAAGCACCACCTCTGGGTTCAACCCCAGTACCAAAAAAAAAAAAAAGTGTTATGAGGCTTAAATGAAAGATTCATATAAAATACATACTTGGCCCTTGGCCCAGGTAACTACTTAGTTACTCAATACACATAGCTATTACAACCAAAGGCCCTGTAGTTGATCTCCTTCAGTCAGCTGGTGGCCTACCGCAAGACTGCAATTCTAATGCTTTCTTGCACAGTATGAGCATTATGACCAAAAGAAAAAAATCCCAGTGGGTTACAACTTGATTAACCATTTGAGTCATGTACAGTCAAGATACAGACGCCTGCCTTCTGACTGGATCTGCTCCAGCTTGTCCAGTTTTCATAAACATACTAATACAAATTCCCAGATAATCTACAGAAGCCCTCAAGGCCCACACGTAGGGCAAGTGGGTAGGATGTAGCTTTCCGGAAAAGGGCCGGAAGACGAGAAACAGAATGAATAAGCACTCTGCTCTCTGAATATTGCCCTCTAGTCTTTCTCTAAATTGAGGGCAAGCCCTAGGGGACCACGCAGTCGCTAGATTTATAGAGCTCGTGAGCATCTGCAGGAGGATGTAGACAGAGACTGACTCTCCACCCTTAAGCCCGTTTTCCACTGACAGCGCAGCCTACCGGTACAGAAGCCCAGAGGTCAACTCTGAAAAGATCTCAAAATCAGCTTAGTACCACTAGAGGCGCCGCCTCGCGTGCGTGCGTGCGTGTGTGCGCGCGCGTGCGTGCGCGCAGGCTGCTGGGAAGCCGCCTCTTCCCTCCCGGTCTTCCAGTTTCCCGGCGTGCTTCGGGCCCGCCAAATGGGAGGGGGAGACGCAAGATGGCGGCAGCCGCGAACTCCGGCTCCAGCCTCCCGCTGTTCGACTGTCCGACCTGGTGAGTGGCGGGGCGGCTGGGGCCGGAGTGTCCTGGCCCCAGCAATACTGGGCAGGAAAGGAGGTTGGTTTTCTTTGGCGGCGAACCGAACGGCTCAAAACCCCTGGAATGGTTAAGGGAAAACTGTCCGCTGTGAGGGGCCGGGCGACGTGTGGAGGAACCGGGAACATGAAGCTCGGGCCCAAGAACTGAGGAAACCTGGGATTGGGGACTCAAAGGAGCTCACTTAGGCAGTCCTTTGGGTGTTGAGCCGCTCGCCTGTGAGGTTTGGGGCCTTGGCCCCGAACTTACCCCTAACTCCTGACTGAGTGCCTGGTGCTCTTGTGGAGCGCTGTACCTGATCCCCCTCCTGTACATCCGGAGCGCGCACGAGCCAGCTTCCCGACCCCAACCCAGCCTCAGAGCCCTATATCCTTCTGTCCTTGCTGCATCCAGTGTGCAAAACTCTAATGTCTTCCATAGACTGGGAGCTTCCCGAGGGCAGGGATGGCGCTGACCAATCCCCTTGTTCTCAGTGGTCCTCATGAAGCCTGGTACAAAAAGCATCAGTAATTGTGGAAATGAATGCTTTTCATCCCATGGAAAGTTTTGGAAAATAATGGGATAATTAAGCCTTTGGGTAGGGTACAAGATGAATGAATAATTGCTTTGCCAGGAGACGCTTCCCAGTTAGAGCTTTCTCTCCTGTAGCTCATCACAGTGTATTATTAACGTCTTATCCCTCTGTCTCCTGTTATAGTGAGATCTTCAAGGGCAGAGACTGATGGGTCTTTGTATTCTCAGCTCCTAAACATGAGTCAGACACATAGTAGGACTTAAGAAAGTATGTTTTGGATTTAACATTCCTTTCCCTGTTTTCTGGTCAAAATGGGCTTTTGTTCAGTGCATTGTTCTTTTAATTATTGCCATAGAGAAGTTGGGATAGGACTATGAGATGACTATGTTGCATCTTCAGTTTTAGATAGGATACATTTTTCATGTTCAAATGTAGGGCCTCTGGTAAGATTGTTCTTTAAACATCAAATGATTAAATCCAAGAAGCAAGTGAATGTGTGGATATTTTATGGATTCCTTTACACTTTTGTAACATCCAGTTGCTTTCAGTCTACAAATTATGTGTCCATTTTGATCTATGGCTGCATTGATTTCAAATGCAAACATAGTTAGAAGAGATTCTTTTAGATCACCTACCATTTTATCAGGATCTGTTACGTACCAGGCATTGTGTTAAGTACTTTGACATATGTATGTCCCCCTTGAATGGTATGGTGAAGTGTAGAACTTTGCATTATCATGTTGTTGTAGAAAGACTTGTTCAAGAGTAACACACCTCCTGTTTTGGTACCTGGTTTTGTGGGCATGATTCTGAATTGCCCTAGTTCCCTAATGATGCATCTCTGATTTGTTCTTAGAGCTCAGAACAATATCTTCTGCTTATTCTATGATGAGACTAATCTTGACCAGCACCAAGCAACAACTAATTATTCTACCTTTGTATATTAGGGTAGTAGCAAGTCTTAAGATTCAAACTCTGGGTGACCAGACTACCCTAGGTGTAGTACTTCCGGCCTCTTTGCTGCTTTCTCTTTGAAGTGACTATCCAATGTTAAAATATAGGTTTCTTTAGTGCTGCTCTAAATACAGAGCCACTAAAATCTGTTTTAGAGCAAATTGAATCTCTTGGGAAATAAGTGTCAAATGTAGAAAGGAGCTGTAACAGTTAAGTAGATGACATTTTGCCTGAACATGAACTAATTATAGGCTGGTAAGGGAGCTGCAATATTGAATGGAACAATAATTGTAAATAACATTTATGAACTCATCCTGAAAATTATTTTTACATCTTTTTTTCAGGGCAGGTAAACCCCCACCTGGTTTACATCTGGATGTAGTCAAAGGAGACAAACTAATTGAGGTATGAAAATATATGTCTCCCTGCCCCCTCCCCATTCTAAAGATTTTTGCCAGTGACTCACTATTCCACCCCCTCTCCTGTGCTTTGTTTTCCAGCAATGCTACTTTCGTTCATCCTGAAATTTTTTTCTATTAAAAGCTTATGACGATATTACACATTCAAAGCTCATATCTCCCACAGACACTCAGTTTTTTGTGACTTCTCTCACCTTCCAAATGAAGAGTTTTAATAGGTCATGGGCCTGTAGGCCCCAATCAAACTGGAAGCCTTCTTGGTGAATTCCTTCTCTCTGAGTACATGGAATTGTGTGGAAGGCACAAGGTATGCAATAACCGAAGAAGAAAATGAATGGTATAGACTGAGTTTAACTTTTGAGTTGCTTCTATGAGATTCAGGCCCAACACCTTCAAAGAAGTATAGTAAACTAAGCCACTTTCTCAACATAGGATGACAGTAAAATTCATTCATTCAAAACATTTATTGGGTGTTTACTATGTGCGTGTCACTGAGTTAGCAGAAGAGACTACAAAAGAGGACAGAACAAAAGTTTTCTGTCCTCTAATTACTCTTTAGAGAGAATCACGTAAAAAATTGCATAATTATAATTGAAATAAGTACAATAAAGAAAAAGTTGAGCTGAATTTCAGCTTTATACAAGTCTCTAGAGTGAATACCACATAGATTTTCAAGAAAACAAGTTAGCTGTTAGATTGTGTAAGTTTTTTTAAAATCCATATTGTGTTATTTACTAAGAAGTGGAGATTAAGCATACTGGTTATTCAGCTATAATTTAGGTTCAAGGCCCTAATACTGAATGCGGTTGGTTGGTTTTTTTTTTTTTTTTTTTTGTGTGTGTGTGTGTGTGTATGTGGTGCTGGTAATTGAACCCAGGGCCTTGTGCATGCAAGGCAAGTACTCTACCAACTGAGCTAAATCCCCAGCCGTTTTTCTTTCTTCCTTTTTTAAAAATATCTATTTTTTTTTAATTATAGTTGGACACAATACCTTTATTTTATTTATTTATTTTTATGTGGTGCTGAGGATTGAACCCACGTGTGAGGTTCACGTGTGAAGGCGAGCACTCCACTGCTGAGCCATAACCCCAGCCCCATGAAGTTTTTCTTCAATGTATAGAATAAAAACATTGTAATTCCATGGTTGATAGCTTGAAAAGCTAATGGTCTTCTGAAGGATGCTCTGCAAATGTATTGTCACTTTCAAGATGTTGTGGCAATAACTAGATACTTTGCAAAATATGAAAGCATCTATGGGTTACAGTGAATTCTCCTATTATTAATTCTTCTAGCTCTCAGCCAGACACATAGATCCCTTTGGTTAAATGTCAAGAATACTCAAGAAAATAATTTAACTAAAATAGCTGTAAAATCTCTTTTACTATAGGTGGTTCCACAGATAGAAAATATATCTGTTGCTAAGTAGGATAACTTGAAGCTTGAAGGTATATAAAAATCTATTTTGTTACAAGAATTTACTAAATCTTTTTTTCTGCCTGTTTGCAATAGGAACAAAGAGGCCTAGCCTTAATGATAACATCATATTCTTTTGTGAAATAATTTATATTTTCAAAGCACTGTAATTTGTCCACTACCCCTATGATTACTGGTTTCCATTTGCTGATAATGTTCTCTTTCAGTGCTCTTAGGTATACTGAGTTGCCACGCAGTTATCAAGTTACAATCCATAGACATCTCTGTATTGTTCTTGGTAGGAATAGACCTAAGAAATGTGTTTTGCAGTGCTGGGAAACAAACCCAGGGCCTCATTCATGCTAGGCAAGTGCTCTACCACTGAGCTACATCCCTAGCCCAGAGGTGTTTAAGGATTTAGATTTTCATCAGCACTTGATACTAACCGAGCTGTCTATATCCTAGCCTTGTGTCAAAGGCTTGTGATATGCTGTGGTAGCTGGGTTGAAGAAGTGCAATATTAAAATAAAGCCATGAGTCTTTTAAGCCCAGTGTGTAAAGATACACTCTGAGTTATAACTCAAAGGCACAACTGAATAGTGACGTTGGTCATAGCTGGTCAAGGAGTTATGGACTTAATGAGTATGGAAAAACTAATTTATTATTTCATTCACCTTTTAACATATTTTCTTGATTGTAAGAAATACTGTTTTCCACTAAAGTTCCATACATTTGAACATTTCTGCAATTGGGATGCCTCTGGTAGTGAATATATACATTTAATTAAGGGCCTCTTCTTTTTGCTTCAAACAGATCTCTTAATCTCTGGTATGTCTGTGGCACCCTACAAATATAAAATTTGGACATTGTTATTCCAGAATCCAAGAGTTGGTGGTCTTATATATTCCTTATGACCCACTGTGAACATTGTGGGCATTTTTAAACTTATGAGAACATAATCTGTATGCATATTGAAATGAATGAAAAATGTATTAAGGTTCAGACTGAATAAATATTACCTAGAAAAAAGAGGTTGAAATTTCAGGGCTTTCTTAATTCTTTTTTTTTTTTTTTAAGAATTTATTAGCCTTTATTTCTCTTTTTTTTTTTAATAACTTTATTTTATTTATTTTTATGTGGTGCTGAGAATCGAACCCAGGGCCTTGCACATGCAAGGCAAGCGCTCTACCACTGAGCCATAACCCCAGCCCAGGGCTTTCTTAATTCTAAAGCAATATCTTATTTTTTAAGAATTTTTTTCACAATTTTTATTGGATCAAACCCAGTGCCTCACACATGCTAGGTAAGCACTCTACCACTGAGCTACAACTCCAGCCCTGCAATGTATTATTTTTAACCCAAATCTTAAAACTTAGGCCAAAGCAGACACAAGGGTGACTATCTAATTGAATCGTTAAGTCCTGGTGCTCTGTAGTAGTATGGCCCTGGAATGAGTGCTACCAGCAGTAGATGGACACTGTTGGAAATGGATTTCCTAGAGGTGACTCACATATCCAAGCTAGCTTGAACTCATTGAAACTTCAAGCTAAAGTTTGAAATAAACTGGGTAAGTGGTTATTTAAAGAAAAATAATGTGACCCACAGTACTTATTCACTCCTGAAAATATTCCTTGTTATGTGGTACATCTTTTGATGTTAGGAATGAGGAAAATATTAATATGGTTAAAAGAGTCTAGACACCGGGGCTGGGGCTGGGGCTGGGGCTGGGGCTATAGCTGTAACTAAGTGGCAAAGCACTTGCCTAGCACGTGTGAGATACTGGGTTCAAACCTTAGCATCACATAAAAATAAATAAAGACATGCTGTTCAAATAAAAAATTGAAAGAAAAAAAAAGAACCTAGACACTAAGGTCTCAATTTTTAACCCACCCCACAAATACCTAGCTGCATGAAGTTGAGTATGTTAATTTATGTCTCAGATTTTTTATCTATAAAAATAGGAAGCATAGTATCTACTCACCTTATAAGATGCTGTCCTCACCTAAAATGACAACGTAAAACTTTCATAACACAGCATGTGACACATAAATGTTCAGCAGTTATTGCTGTTATCAGTGCTGAGAGTCTCTTTGCATGAGGTACAGTGACACTAAAGGCATAGGGGAGAACAGTAACTCACTGACTTCAAGAAATTAGCTAGGAATAAATACAACTTCTTGATTCCTAGTCTAGTACTAACTTGACTATACTTCTCAGCTTTGTGCTGTCTTTTCTCAAGAGATTATAGAAAGAGTTAATGTGAAATGTAAACTAGAGCTTTACTTTGTATTTAGAGGAAAAAGGTGCCAGGCATATGTCTGTAAGCCCAGAAACTTGGGATACTGAGGCAGGAGGATCTCAAGTTTGAGGTCATTCTCAGCAATTTAGCAAGACAGCGTCTCAATAAAAAAAAGGCTGGAGGGGCTGGGGATGTGGCTCAAGCGGTAGTGCGCTCACCTGGCATGCGTGTGGCCCGGGTTCGATCCTCAGCACCACATACAAACAAAAATGTTGTGTCCGCTGAAAAACTAAAAAATAAATATTAAAAAAAAAGGCTGGAGATGTAGCTCAGTGGTAGAGTATCCCTGGGTTTATTCCCCAGTACCAAAAATAAATAAAATACAGCATATATGAATGAGGGATGTTCTTCAGTGGTCAGACTAGATTACTGGACCACTAGCAATGTTCTGGACTGCTAGAATTGGAAAAAGTGCTAATAAAAATTCACCCTGGAACCCTTCCTCTGTTATAATTTGGTTTACACCAATCTGTGGCAAAGGATTTATTGATCAGGATTAAAAGAAATATAAAAACAAAAGTGGGGTGAGTTTTTTATAAAGTTAAATTCAGCTCAAAGAATGATCCTTCATCCTTGCCCTTCCTTCTCATCTTCTGATAAAGTGACCCTTCTTGTATAAAATGATGATGATACTGGGCCATGACAGTTAAATGCTGTGGAGGTGTAGCTTAGTGGTAGAGTACTTGCCTAGCATTCCCAAGCCCCTGGTTTCAGTCCCCAGCACCTCCTTCCACCACACACATACACACACACACACACACACACACGCACCCTTATTTGACAAAATAAAAGGTAAACATGTCAGCATTTTCCCCAGTTTTTCTTTCTTTTTGTACTGGGAATCAAACCCATTGCCCCACAGTGTTTTAATAATAGCTTGCTAGTCCATGAAATTCTGCTTTCTGCTGTTATATTATAGCAGCTGAAACATTGTAGAGTTCTTCTCAGAATTGCTCCAGACCCATGGCACATTGTTTAGGATATTAGTATTACAAATCGGTCGTACCTGGGTTTAAGTCCCACCTTTGCTGCATACTTACCCAACCACATTAGATGACTTCATCTCTGACTCTGTTCTCTCATCATTAATAATAAAGGTGATAGTTGCAGGCTGGGGATATAGCTCAGTTGGTAGAGTTCTTTCCTTGCAAGTACAAGGCCCTGGATTCAATTCCCTGCATCACAAAAAAAAAAAAAAAAAAAGAAAGTGATAGTTGCTTCACAGAGTTGAGGATTAGATGAGATAGTGTTTAAAATGCCTAGCAGTAATAGTCCTTCAGTAAATGTTAATTCTCATACTGTCTTCCCCCAAACTTGGAAAGTCTTTGCTACTTAAGGAAGTTCACATTTAGACATAGTAAATACTCATTAGAATTGACTCTATATAATACTTTTTTGTAGCCAGAGTAAAATGAGACGTAAGTTGGATTTGGGCATTCATACAGTGATGTCTAATGTAATTCCAGTATCTAAAGAAAGTTCCAGAGGGCTGGGGATGTGGCTCAAGCGGTAGCGCGCTCACCTGGCATGCGTGCGGCCTGGGTTCGATCCTCGGCACCACATACAAACAAAGATATTGTATCTGCCGAAAACTAAGAAATAAATATTAAAAAAAAAAAAAAAGAAAGTTCCAGAAATTCTTGGGGGATATGGCTGCATGATTAAAATATACCCCATTCCTTTTCCAATCAAGTGATGATCTTCGTTTGAATGTATACTTTCTGAAGAGCAATCTGTTTTTTTGGGGGGGATGTACCAGGGATTGAACTCAGGGACACTCACCACTGAGCCACATTCCCCAGCCCAATTTTGTAGTTTATTAGAGACAGAATCACACTAGAGTTGCTCAGCGCCTCTGAACTCGTGATGTGATCCTCCTGCCTCAGCCTCCCAAGCCTCTGGGATTATAGGCATGTGCCACTGCATCCAGTTGAAGAGCAGTCTTATTACTTCATGGACATATTTTGCACTTCTTATTTCCTATTTGAACTAAATTTAATAACCAAGAAAATTTCCAATAGGCAGAAGAATTTTTTATCTCTTGGAGACAGACTTATTGCCTCTAGGAGAATTAGGAAAAGCTATTTTCATCCCAACACTAGACAATTAAACACTGCATTTGGGTAGGTTAATTAACATTCCTCCATTCCATAATGTCTTAGTAAATTATTCTTTATGTTAAGGAATAATGGGCATACCAAGGTGCAGCAGTCTATGGGTGAAGCATTCTTGGTCATCTACACCCTCTGGCTTGGAAAAAATGGTTAATGACATGCTTATGGAATGGACAGAGACATTTTCCCATTCAGTAACCCCCTGACCTCAGTTCTCCCAACAATTTCGCCACAAAAGAGTTTCTGCTGAATTTGGATAAATCCAGTGCCCTAGGAAAAAATCATTCAAGATATTGATGACACATTTTTGTAATAGTAGTAAGTCTTCCAGGAGCCAGTAGGTGAAATAATGTATCAAAATACTTTTTCTCTTGCCCAGAGGCGAAGATACTGGATACTGATCATTTAGGAACTAATGTAATGAATGTGAAGGATCATCCCCATTCAGTATCTTACGTGACTGATTAGACCTTGATGATTGCTTAGGAGAACACTGTGGGAAAGACTGGGGGGGATCTCATTGGGTGGGGGTGGGGAATGAACTGATTTTATTGTGCTCTGGAGTTTAAAAAAAAAAAAAGCAGGGCACTGTGGCATAAGTCTGTTAGCTTGGGATACTGAGTCAGGATTGCAGGTTCAAGGCCTGCATCAATTTAGCAAGGCCCTAAGCAACTTAGTGAGACCCTGTCTCAAAGTAAAAAATAAAAAGGGCTAGAAATGTGGCTCAGTGGTAATTGCCCCTGAGTTAAATCCCCAGTACCAAAAAAATAAACAAGCAATGGGAATTTATTTTTTTCTCCTTAGCAAGAAATTGTATCAACTCAAAATCCCTATTTACTTGATTTGGAGTTTTTGGTAAACCTTGTTGTAACAAGATTTAAGTAATATTTAATTTAATATTTATTTAGAAACTCATTATTGATGAGAAGAAGTATTACTTATTTGGGAGAAACCCTGATTTGTGTGACTTTACCATTGACCATCAATCTTGCTCTCGGGTCCATGCTGCATTGGTCTACCACAAGCATCTGAAGAGAGTTTTCCTGATAGATCTCAACAGTAGTGAGTATCTCTCCCACTTTACATATTCCCTGTGGGCAGTGTAAAAATGCTTTTTGGGGTTTTTAGTTAGGAAAACATGTTTTATTGTTCATCGAGGAAAAAGTTTATTTGGTTTTTAAATCCTTCTCTATTTCAGTGGTTCTGTTTTCCTGAAGTAATGACTAGGGAGAGAAGAGGACTTTTATAGAATTGTCCTAAGGAAGTCACAATGTATACATAGCAAACAAAAATGGCACCAAGGAATTAGGGAGTATTGATATTTGAGTATTATAAGTCCCTGATAAATTGAAGTTCAATTTAAGCAGAAACCATGATTAACTGCATTAATGTAGGAAAGCAACAATATATAAGACATTTAAAAAATACAGTGACTCAGGGGCTGGGGTAATGGCTCAGTGGTAGAGCGCTCGCCTAGCATGTGCGAGGCACTGGGTTCGATCCTTGGCACCACATAAAAATAAATAAATAAAACAAAGGTATTTTTAAAAGAAAGAAGGCTTTAAAAAAAAATGCAGTGGCTCAGGAGGATCACAAGTTTGAGGCCAGCCTCAAGAACTTAGTGAGACCCTGTCTCAGAAACTTTTAAAAGGGCTGCAGATGTTGCTCAGTAGTAGAGCACCCCTGGGTTCAATCTCCAGTACCACCAACAAACAAAAAAACTTGAGCAAATTGAGTTATTTATATTAGGTTCTTTATCCCAAGTACATTTTGGCTTTGTTAGTTTGTTTTTTTCTCCCAGTTCTGGGGATTGAACCCAGGGGTACTCTACCACTGATATACATCTCCAGATTTATTTATTTATTCATGCATTCATTTATTCATTCATTCTTACAATATTGAGACAGGGTCTGCTAAGTTGCTCAGGCTGAACTCAAAACTTTGATCCTTCTGTTTCTACCTCTTGAGTACCTGGGCATGTACCACCACAACCAGCTACTTTTTGCTTTGACTGTGATTACATCAGTTTTAATTTCAACTAGTAAGACTTTAAACCTTTACTAAGATAAGCCACAGAAGTACAAATAAGGCTTCACTGTGTGGGACCCTGAAGTTTGTTCATTTTGCCTGTATATGAATATGATGTGAAGTGTAAATGGTCCTGCTGCTTCCTGTAAGGCTCATCATTGTGTTTGACTCCTCTTCCCCAACTCCTAAACCACATAGACACATATCTTATGCAAGGTACTTGGTCACCTTGTCTCACAAGAACATTTCTCTGCATTAATCACATGCAAAATGGTGACATGGAAAATTATTTAGAATCTCTAGTAGGATTTTGGCTTGCCTTGGCATTGACAGTGCACCTATTTTGGCCAGGCCCCTTTCTGGTCTTATGGGGAATTGCAAGGCCAGCAATTTTTGTGTTCCTTATGCTTGAAGCTGGAGAGGATATAGACCACAGCAATGCCTATCTCATGCCTTGGTGGCTTCTGTTGGGTTGGAGCCATTCCTACTGGACCCAAAGGAGCCAAGCCTGTCTGACAGCAGAAAAAAGGCAGTAGTATTTATTATGTGGATGAACAACAGGTCTGAAGATGTGTAAGAAATCCACTGAAGAAACTGGACATACTGGTGCATGCCTGTAGTCCCAGTCACTTGGGTGGTAAAGCAGGAAAATAATAAGTTTGAGGCCAGCCTCAACAACTTAGTGACACCCCATCTCAGAAAAATAAATCTATTGAAGAGATTGAAGGCTTAGTGAAGAAGTTTTCCTTCTCGATATAAGACATATCAGAGGATGCAATAGATCCAGTACCATTTTCACTTTAAAAGACTTGTTCTCTGACCATAATCTTGAATGTGGGCATTTTTTTTTTTTTTTTTTTTTTAATAAACGGAAAAAAGCAAAACTGATGTTCTGGGAGAAGCTGATTTGATACGAGTCAAAGATGATGCTCTCCCTTCTAAACTCAGGCTTTTTTTGGTTTCTCCTCTTACATTTCTGATTTGGTTATTCCCAGCACATGGCACTTTCTTAGGTCACATTCGGTTGGAACCTCACAAGCCACAACAAATTCCCATCGATTCCACAGTCTCATTTGGCGCTTCCACAAGGGCATACACTCTGCGCGAGAAGCCTCAGACGTTGCCATCAGCTGTCAAAGGAGATGAAAAGATGAGTGGAGAGGATGATGAACTCAAGGGCCTGTTGGGGCTTCCAGAGGAAGAAACTGAGCTTGATGTAATTCCATATTTATGTCATTGTTTTGTCTTTTGGGACACTGGTTTTTGGAGTATATAGCTGTTCTGTGTAGCTTTTAATGCCAGTGGCTTAGCAGCAGGAGGTTTTCTTGAGCCAAATAATGAGTTTTGGCAATGTTGTGTGAGTCTCCTGCCACTAGACCTCCTCTTAGGGGTCTTGTGCGCCTTCACTGGCTATTAGAAGCCAAGACTGCAAATTATATTTTTCTGTCTCTGGGACTGCTTAGAGCTATGTTGTTCGATGCAGTAGTTACTTAACCACATTTCAAATAATCAGTCACATATAACTAGTGGATACCATAATTGGATAGTGCAAATAGAGTCAACCCTTCACATCAGCAGGTTCTGCATTTTTTGATTCAACCAACAGCAGATAAGTTGTTCACTGAGGGAAATTGCTTCTATATAGAACATATACAGACGTTTCTTTTCATTATTTCCTAAAAAATACAGTATAATAACTTTAGAGAGCATTTACGTTGTATTAGATATTATTCGTGATCCAGAATGATTTGAAATACATAGGAAGATGTGCATAGGTTATATGAATTTTTTTTTTGAGGGACCAGAGTGTCTGTAGATTTTGATATCCATGGGGAAGGGAGTCCTGGAACCAGTCTTCTTCAGATACCTAAAGGTAATTCTTTCCATCACTGCAAAAAGGTTGACAGCATTAATTTAGCAACTGACACTTTCATTCATTTACGTAGCTTTTTTTGGTAGTATCTGAACAGCCCAGGAGTCTTCTGACTAGAATTAGACTGCTTTTGTTCTTATGGGCCTGGATGCCCTGAAGGCTGGAAGTTTTTTGTCATTGTTTTGGCACTGGGATTGAACCCAGAGCCTTGTACATGCTAAGCATGCGCTATACCACTGAGCTATATTCCCAGCCCAAGTTTTCCTTTTCTAGAGGCTGACACTAGTAGCCTTCACGTGTGTCACTGCACTGATGTAACTTGTCTGTTCAGTTAGACCAAATGAAAGCATGTCCTTAACTACCCACATGTATTTACTCTTCCTATACACCAAGGCAGTTTCCTAGTCTTTAGGAAGAAAAATACAATAGAAATCTTATAATTTAGAAGTCATTGTAAGGCTATTGCAGTGGTTATGCTTGCTCTTTTTCCCTACAGGCTGCTTTCCTCTGTTTTTTTTGTTCTTGTTCTTGTTCTTGTTTTGTGTCTTACAATACCAGGGGATTGAACCCAGAGCCTCTCATAATCTAGAAAGATTGTCTACTACTTACCTACATCCCCAGCCTGTTTGCCTATATTTTAGTTCAGTATTTTAGGTGTTCTCTAGGTCTTCATTCTAATATATCAAACTGCATTGCAGATTGGAATAAGTCCAGTGGACTGAGAAGGAGACAGGCAACAGTGCTAAGGCCAGGTTAATCATCAAGATTAGTTGATGGATGCTTATGAATATAAGTGGGGCCAAACGTAAGAAGGAGGGTGACAAAATATTAATGCCAAAAATTAAGTGCACTGATAATGTCCTTAAGAATTTTGAAGGCGAGAGCTATTGAAAAGAACAGTCAGTTGTCCTTTTTCATCTGTTTAGTTACTTTAAAACAGTTCTTGGAGTCCTCCCAGACACATTTTAATTCTCAGCATGAAAATATGATAGCCTTCCTTTTAAAGAAAAAGAAAAAAAACCCCTCAACTGAAGGGTATTCGTATTCGTACAGATTATGACCTATTCTCAGTGTTCTTTACGTCCTTTTTTGAATAGTATTCCCACACTAGTCAATGTGGATGTTCCACTTTCTTTCAAATGAGACTTGTTAGTATTAGCAGTCTAAGGATAGTATGAATCTTCCCTAAATGCAGAAGAGAGTCTTGGAGGTCTGATTAAGCCCCTACTGCCTTTCTGCCCTTTATTACTGTTTTTCCATCAAAGTCCCTGTACTGACTCTTGTCTTTTCTGTGTGAATCCTGGCCTAGAATCTGACAGAGTTCAACACTGCCCACAACAAACGGATTTCTACCCTCACCATTGAGGAAGGAAATCTGGACATTCAGAGACCAAAGAGGAAGAGGAAGAACTCACGGGTGACTTTCAGCGAAGATGATGAGATCATCAACCCAGGTGAGATCTTTTCCTGGTTTCTTCTGTTGAAATGTTGTGATCTCAGAGACTAGTGTGTACAACCGACAGGTCAATTGGAATGTTTCTCAACAAAGATTAGGATTAGAGGCAACATAGGTGGAGTACCCTAAACATCCAAGAATTATCCAGGTACAGTGACAAAGAAAGAATTAAAAGGGGGCTGAAGTTGTGGCTCAGTGGTAGAGCGCTGGCCTAGCATGTGTGAGACCCTGGTTTGGTCCTCAGCACCACATAAAAATAAAAAAAAAACAAAATAAAGATACTGTGCCCATGTATAACTAAAAAAAAAAAATTAAAAAGAAAAGATTAAAAGGGTCTTGGGGGCTGGGGATATGGCTCAAGCGGTAGTGCACTCGCCTGGCATGCGTGTGGCCTGGGTTTGATCCTTAGCACCACATACAAACAAAGATGTTATGTCCGCCGAAAACTTAAATAAATAAATATTAAAATTCTCTCTCTCTCTCTCTCTCTCTCTCTCTCTCTCTCAGTCTTCCATTGACCATTTTTTTAAAAAAGGGTCTTTGATATTAAATAATAAGGCTATAATTATTCTTTGCTGACCCAGCATTTCCCTATCATAGTGGAAGTTTAACTGAAATATGGGTATTTATCTTTACCTTACAATAAAATGTTATTGTCTTTATGACGTTCTGAGTAGGATTGGTAGCTCCAAGGTTGGAATACCTTCTGCCATCATTAATCACATTGAAATCTTGTTTGTCTCTAAGGAAGTCACTTACAGGTAATTGAATAGGGTTCAAGCTTCAGTTTGTAGGGATGGCCACAATAAAATTGCCAATTTATTATATCATTCAGGTGCTCTGGCAGATGGCTGACATGGGGGTAGGAGTATATATAGTTAATATAATGGTGATAGGCCTGGGTTTTTTGTTTTCTTTTTTAAACCTTATTTGGAATAAAATTAATGGATATGAAAATGAAAAATACAGCCTAACAAGTTGCTTTTACTTCCTAGATTGAAATGCTATGAGAATAACTTTCAGGTTCTGCAATTAAGTTTTAAGTTATTCAAATGGATACCTGTTCCACTGATGGCCCAAGGAGTTGGGGCAGGGAGATCTAGGGATTTTAGTTAATTGAAATGCAGTCTGAGTCATCAGGGGATATAGAAACAAATCAAGTGCAATTCAAGATTGCATTAACAATAGACTGGTGGGGACAGTAACCCTACTAGTCTGTGTTCTGAATAGAACTACCCCTAAAATGTGTAGTCCTGAGGGAGGAAGGCTTTTGGAGTGAGTACCCTGGTTGCCAAGAATTTAAGGGGAGAAGTGGGGAGCATGGAATGGTCAGAAAGGAATGGGACAAATTCAGAACTAGTGGGTACCAAGTATTTGGTGCAGCATAAGAAAAAGGGGAAACCAGCAAATTCCCGACTTATATTTAGAAGAATTAAAGATTCACATGAAAGAGATCAGGGCATATATAAATGTACCAAAGGGAATTTCTCCTTTATTATATGTAGAAAGTACCAATCAATCAAAAATAAATAAAGGGCTGGAGTTGTAACTCATGATAGAGTGTTTACCTAGTCATTTGAGGCACTAGCTTTGATCCTCAGCACCACATAAAAATAAATAAATAAAGCTATTGTATCTGTCTACAACTTAAAAAAGTTTTTTTAAATAAAGAAGTGAAAGGAATATCTGTTAAGTAGAGGAGGGAATAAAAAGGGAGGGGGAGTGGGGATTGAAATCAAATTCCTTGTTTGTATAAATTTTGTCAGAAGGAACCCAACTACTGTATATAATTATAATGCTCTAATTTTTAAAAAATATGGGTTCATTAGGAAAAAAAGATGAGGGCGCTCTTTCTAGTGACTACAAATTCACTTTCTGATGGTATATGAAGTGGAGTAGATTCCTTCTCAAAGGAGTAAGTGTGCAAGAGAAGTTTCAGACAGGGACTAGACCGATCTGAAAAGCCAATTTCTGGGCCCCAGACCTATTGAATAAGAGTTTCCATGGGCTAGACCTAGATTCTTTTTTTCTAAGCTAAGGATTGAACCCAAGACCTTGTATATGCTAGGCAAGTACTCTACCACTGAGCTATGCTTCTAACCCCCTAGAATTTTGTTTTAAGCTAACCTCTGGCTAGGCACTGTGGCTTATCCCTTTAATCCCAGAATTTGGGGATGCTGAGGCAGGAGGATCCTGAGTTCAAGGCCAGCTTTCGAAACTTAGCAAGATCCTGTCTCAAAAAAGGGCTCGGGGGGCTGGGGATGTGGCTCAAGTGGTAGCGCGCTCGCCTGGCATGCATGCGGCCGGGGTTCGATCCTCAGCACCACATACAAACAAAGATGTTGTGTCCGCCAAGAACTAAAATATAAATATTAAAATTCTCTCTCTCTTAAAAAAAAAAAGGGGGGGGATGGGGATATAGCTCAGTGGTAGAGCACCTTGGGTTGTTTCCCCAACACCAAAACCAAAAAAAAAAAAAAAAACCACTTTGTGTTTATACTAATAAACAGCCAGCAGTTTGAAAAATATTTAGATCATCTCCAAAGTCTCTTGGTAGTCATGGCATGCGCTGCTGTTTTCTCCTTGAAAATTAGCACCCTGGAGCTTTATTAATATAATGTGGTTAAGAGCAGAGTTTTGAAATCAGGGGACCTGAGTCTGAAATCCACCTTTCCACTTAGTAACGTGTAACCTGGCCAAGTGATTTAACAGGCTAATGACCTCACAGGATTATCAGGAAGATTAAATTAGTATATTGAAAAATATTTGGGGCTGGGGTTGTGGCTCAGTGGTAGAGCACTTGCCTAGCATGCAGGAAGCATTGAGTTCGATCCTCAGTAACACATAAAAATAAAATCAAGGTATTGTGTCCACGTACAACTAAAAATATATACATTAAAAAATACTTAAGGATACTTGGTATAAAATTCTCAATAAATGCTAACTGGTATCACCATCATCATCATCATCTGTCTTTCACCTATGCCAGAGGTAAAGTTAGCAAGGAGTTTTGTGTGTAGGTCTTCAGAAGCACAGATATACTGGAACAGTGTATCCTTTCTAGAACTAGAATGGCTGGAAAAAAAGGAGCAGAGGGTAAAACCCTGAGCACTTTTGGGGATGTCTGGAGGGCAGAACTCCACTAATTGCTTTTTTATTTATTTTTTAATCCTTGAGGTAGGAGCTCTCTGAGTTGCCAAGGCTGGCCTTGCACTTACAATATCCCTTCCTGCCTCCAGGGTAGCTGGGATTCCAGTTGTGTACCAGTGCATCTGGCTTCCTTTGCTCTTGTGCTTCATTTAGCCCTCCTTGCTTAAAAGGTGATTGGAATAGCACTCCTATAGCAATAAGAGAAAAGTTAGAGCACCTTTGGAAGGACTTTGTCTCTTTCCTAATGACCCTAGATCTTTTCCTTTTTTTTCTTCGAAGTAGAAGCCATTCATTGAACAAAGACTGGTTGTGACTTTGATACCAGGTTCTATTCTTAGAGGCATTCTAATATGTGAAAAACTACACTTAAATAAATCAGAAACAAATTATTCAAATTAAATTCGGAATTCTGTTTTTTTCCATCGGGATTCATAGGAATGTTTTTTCAATAGCAGACAACTTCGGTGCATTTAAAATAGACATATATAGGAATAGGAAAGATAGTAGAATGAATCAAACATAACCTTTCTAAGTGATGTTGGGCGGCTTCCCATCTCATACCTGAAGAGGACTTTTTTTTTTTTTTTTAAGAGAGAATTTTAATATTTATTTTTTAGTTTTCGGTGGACACAACATCTTTGTTTGTATGTGGTACTGAGGATCGAACCCGGGTGAGCGCGCTACCACTTGAGCCACATCCCCAGCCCTAAAAATAAATTTTAAAAAAATGTACAGCTGGGCATGGTAGCGCATGCCAGTGAGGCTGAGGCAGGAAAATCATGAGCTCAAATCAAGCCTCAGCAATTTATCAAGGCCCTAACCAACTTAGTGAAACCCTGTCTCAAAATAAAATACAAAAAGGGCTGGTCCTGGTAGTGTACACCTATAATCCAAGCAGCTTGGTAGGCTGAGACAGGAGGATTGTGAATTTAAACCAGCCTCAGCAACAGTGAGGCATCAAGCAACTCAGTGAGACCCTGTCTCTAAATTAGAAATACAAAATGGGGCTGGGAATGTGGCTCAGTTATAAAGCACCCTGATTTTAGTCCCCAGTACTGAAAAGAAAAGAAAAATAAGATGTGCAACATCTGTTAGGGAAAGAATTCCTTCTCTGCCACAATAATAAGCTAAAAGGGGTTTAATAGTTTTCAGTAGTAGTGATGGGTCCGTGCCTGCTCTTTTCTACATGCTCAGTCTTTTTTTATGTGGTGCTGAGGATCAAACCCAGGGCCTCGCACGTGCTAGGCGAGCGCTCTACCACTGAGCCACAATCCCAGCCCTGTTTTGCACTTCTTTTGAAGCATCTCTGTTGTGTTGTAACCTCTCTGGTTCTGTTATTGTGCACTCCTCAGTCTTGCTCTTTATTTCCATACCTGGTGATCAGTACATGAGACTTGAGAGAGTAAGTGATTGAAGAGCAACAACCTGAGTCTAGTGCCTTCTCCCTGCAGAGTGAATAAATCCAGAAGGTTTGTAGGGCACAGTGATATATGTATAAGCAATTCAAAGGGAGCCATTCTCCCATCTTATCTGGACAGGAGGCTTCAGATACATACATGTATATTGATATGCATATATGTGTACTGATTTTATAAAGTTCAAGTTATTCAAGTCAAAAATCCAGGGTAAATTTTTGAAGCTCTGAGTCTGGGTCCTAAATCTGTTCTTCACTAATGAGCAGGTATTGGCAAGATCTGTTGTATGTGACCTCTTGTCATTGTTTTAACACTAATGTGAGATTGATAATATCTATTCGTTTTCTCCCCTTAAAAGAGGGAAATGCATGGAATGGGAAAGATCTTGGGGAAGGCAATGCAGCATTGTGGTGTAGAGCATAGATGTGTTTCTGGTTACTTGGACTGAAGTCCCAGCTTCTCTCCTCCAGTGGGGAAACTGGGCCAGTCCCTTTACTCCTCTCAGCCTCAGTCTGTTTTCTCATCTACCTAATGCTGATTGCAGTAGTGCCTACCTCATGGGTTGTGGGAGGATTTATCACAGTGTCCAGTGCACAGTGAACACTTCCAGTGTTGGCTGAATTTGACCGTTTGTTTGAATTGTGGTTTAGTGTGCAGTCAGCCCTGTACCGTTATTCCTTCCAGCAGAGTACCAACCCAACCCTGCCCTCATCTCTTTTTGCAGAGGATGTGGATCCCTCAGTTGGTCGCTTCCGGAACATGGTGCAAACTGCAGTAGTCCCAGTAAAGGTAGGAAGCACATTTTAACAGTGTTTGAAATCACATGTGATCTGGAGTCAAAAACCCATTCTAGAGGGTGGAAATGTAGCTAGCATGTGTGTTTTGCAGATATGAGGCCCTGGGTTTGAACCCCAATACTATATGCATTATTTTTTGTTTGTTTTTCCCCCCTCTATACTGGGGATTGAACCCAGGGCCTTATACATGCAAGTGCTCTACCATTGAGAGCCTCTATCCCTAACCCTAGTGAGTAACTTTAAAACACATTCTGTGTTCCTCTCATATTTTTCATTCTGTGGAAGTACTTTGTGTGGGGGTGGGAGTGCTGGGGATTGAACCCAGGGCCTCATGCATGTAAGGCAAGCATTCTACCAACTGAGCTATATCTCCAACCCTGTGGAAGTACTTTTACCCCTGTTTATGTGTAGGGAATCCTGGAACACCACAGAAGGGATACAGGTGACCAGTCAGTTTGATGTGAAACATATAAATTATGTGCTAATGTGAATCTATAAATTTAAGTTTTAGAAGGGTGCAGAGAGACCCATCTTCCTGTGGCCATTCCCTTCTGACTCAAAGTAAGCTTTTATGTGAGGGAAAAACATTATTGCAGTACTGCAAGGCACCTGTGTTTTTTGCCATGCCATTATTTTGTACACAGGAATGGCACAGATAGGAAGGTTAGTTCAGTCTGGAAATAGGTTTAAAGATTAGATATTTTGAAGAACTAAGAAGTGAAAGTTATGATAGCACATACCTATAATTCCAGCCACTCAGGAGGCTGAATCAGGAGGATTACAAGTTTAAGGCCAACCTTAGCAACTTAGACCCTGTCTCAGAATAAATAAAAAAAGAACTGGGCTCGGGCTGGGGCTTGGGCTGGGGCTTAGTGGTGGAGCGCTCACCTAGCATGTGTGAGGCCCTGGGTTCAATCCTCACCACCACCTAAAAATAAACAAATAAAATAAAGGTATTGTGTCCAACTACAACTAAAAAATATTAAAAAAAAAACAAAAAACTAAGCTCACATGCACAAGGCCCTGAGTTCAATCCCCAGCACCAAAACAAACAAACAACAATAACAACAACAACAACAAAAACCATGGGGATGTGGTTCTATGGTAGGGAACCTCTGGGTTCCCAGTACCAAAAAAAAATCCTTCATGTACTTCTTCTTGTACCTCTACAGTATGGGCATTGAACCCAGGGGTGCTTAACCCCTGAGCTACATCCTCAGCCCTTTGCAATCTTACTTTTTTGTTTGTTTGGGGGCAGAGGTTAATACTGGGGATTGAACCCTAGGGCGCTTAACCACTGAGCCACATTCCCAGCACTTTTTATTTTTTATTTTGATACAGTTTCTCACTAGGTTGCTGAGGCTGCCCTCATGTCCTCCTGCCTCAGCCTCCCAAGTTGCTGGGATTGTAAAATGAGCCACTACACCCAGCTTTTATCTTATTTTTGACACAGGATCTCAGTAAGTTTCCTAGGCTGGCCTTGAACTTCCCAAACCTCATGCCTCAGCCTCCTGAGGTAGCTGGGATTATAGGTGTACACCACTGTGCCCAGCACCTTCTTGTCCCTTTACAACCATTCCCCTCCTACTCAACCCCAGGCCACCAGTAGACTACTTTCTCCACTGCAGATTTGTTTTGCTTTCAGATTAATGTTTAAAAAATGGCAATCAGTCTGGTGCACACCCATGATCTTAGTGGCTCGGGAGGCTGAGGCAGGAGAATTGCCAATTTAAAGCCAGCCTCAGCAAACTTATTGAGACCCTGACTCTAAATAAATAAATAAATACCATAGATAGATAGATAGATAGATAGATAGATAGATAGATAGATAGATAGATAGATAGGGATGTGGCTTGGTTGCCTGAGAGGGAATAGATTGGCTTGGTCAGAGGTCAGAACTCCTGTGCTGATTAGTAATAGAATCATGCCTATAAATAGTCACTACAATCCTGCCTGTGAACATAGTAAGACCCTGTCTCTTATTAAAAAATAAACTGAATAAAGAATTAGGCACCCAATATGGAAATGCTACCTTTGTATTTACCCCCTTCCAAAGAAAATAGTTGAATTATCACCTCCATGTCCTAATGGGGTGTTTTTACATTAATAAGAGAGGAAGGGTTGACTCTAAATAGAGAGTAGTCATTTAAATTGAATAAGTTTTACTTCCTGTAAAACTCATAACACTATTCTCATTTTTCTGATTACATAGAATAGTGAAAACTTTACTGTAGGGCAACATTGGGAGCCACTGTATTAGATGACAGCTGTGAGGTCTCTTCAAACTGTAACATTTCAGGACCATGGAATAGGTTGTCTGGGAAATAAAATAAGCTGGAAGTTAGGAACTTTTCCCAAAGGCTGGAATGGAAGAAAAAGTTACAATCTGTTTCACCTCTTGTCTCCTCTCTGTTCTTTCCCTCTCTTCATGGCAAACCACAGAAGAAGCGGGTGGAGGGCCCTGGCTCCCTGGGCCTGGAGGAATCAGGGAGCAGGCGCATGCAGAACTTTGCCTTCAGTGGAGGACTCTACGGGGGCCTGCCCCCCACACACAGTGAAGCAGGCTCCCAGCCGCATGGCATTCATGGGACAGCACTCATCGGTGGCTTGCCCATGCCATACCCGAACCTCGCCCCTGATGTGGACTTGACTCCCGTCGTACCATCAGCAGTGAACATGAACCCCACACCAAATCCTGCAGTCTATAACCCTGAAGCTGTTAATGAACCCAAGAAGAAGAAATATGCAAAAGAGGCTTGGCCGGGCAAGAAGCCCACACCTTCCTTACTGATTTGATATTTTTGGTCATGGAGAAGGGTGGGATTGGGTGGGAATGGGGTGGAAGGGTGATGGGGCACTAATGAACTAGGGAGAAAAACGTTCCATGTGTGCAGTATCGTCTTTCAGAATGTCTCCTGGGGTCCTAACCATGTAATATTAAGACTGGGGGTGGGGCTCAAATATACCATAAAGACCTGTATTCAGAACACTTTCTATGTAGAGAAAGGTTTCATAGGTCCTTTAAGTAGACTGCCCTGGCTCTTTCCCAGGCCTTTTATTGCCTCTTTCTTCCTTCTCCTTTCTAGGATCATTTTTATGTGATGTCACATAACCTAGGTTGAATCCAGAGCTGTGGAGGTAGCAGTAGCCTCACCAGTCTCCGGGTCCCCACAGCCTCATTTACTGTCTTTGCAAGTCCCAGGTAGCAAAAGGGTTGCCATGGATCCCAGGATGATCAAAAAGGTTTAGTATTCTTCGGTTAAGCTAAAGTTTAAACTCAGAAGTGTTTTCTTGGGTCTTTGGTTTTGAGGTCCAATGGTTAGGCTTTTCTCTTCGATCCTTTCTGTTGGAATGAGACTCCCCTTTGTCTGTGACCAGTGCCAGAGGCACAGGTTTATAGTTTTAACTTACAGTATTGTGTGAACTTTTCTTGTCAAACCTGAGCACTCCAGTTGCCTATGTTTCTCATTTATTTTCAGAGTACTGTCCTCTACTCTCCAAGGCATTACTTTTCTTTTTGAGTGTGTTATGAGGCAATTTTTAAAGGATATGATTAGTTAGGGCAACTAAGATTAAAAATGAAAAGATTTACTTTGCAAGTAACTGAAGTCTATTAAGAGGACGTTTTTAGCTGTTGGTTTGGAGGCCTTCCCCCCCCCCCCCCCCCCGTTTGAGAGCTCTGGTTGCTCAGAGCAAGACTAGACCTGGCTAACAAACAGGAGACAAAGGTAGGAAACATTGATATGAGCTTTGTACAGAGATTTGTACATTTGTGTAATAGGCCTTTTCACGCTTTATGTGTAGCTTTTTACCTGTAACCTTTATTACATTGTAAATTAAATGTAACTTTTGTCATTCTGGTGCAGTCTAGAGTCTGTCCTCACCATCACTGATTCCCACTGCGATCAGAGTACATTTATGTCAGAGGTATGATGTTGGCTTGGGAGGTGATGACTTGTCCCCTTTTATTACCACAAATGAAGATAGTCTCAGAAAACTGGAACTTCTAATTGGGGATTCCAGTCCCCAGACTGAGGCCTCACAAAGAAAAGTGGGTTAAGAGGTGACTGTTGCTCTTTATTGGGGAACAGAACAAGGAATCTTGTAAGGGGAGACTTTGGCATTTGTCCTGGGATGGGCATGATTTAAACCTAGTCACCCACTCTCTGCATTTGTGCTACAGCTCTGTGGCTGTTCCTTCAAAACAAATACCCAGCTTCTTTTCTCTCCTGGGTATTTGTTTTGAAGGAACCAAAAGAAGCTAAAGTTGTGTGACTTTAGAAGGGATTTCAGCAGGAGTTTGGATGGAATGGATGTTTTCTGCACACTGGAATCTCACAGTAGGCACGTGTAGTGAGATGCATTTTCACACCTGACACTGTGATGGAGATGCCAGTTAGGTTACGAATCCTAGGGGTTGTGGACTCACAGCAGGAGCAGCCTTCTAGAAAACAGATCCATGCAATCACAGATTTTCAAAAAGTTGACTCCACAGGTTCTAATGAAGAGTCCTTGCCAGGCTCAGGGGCACATGACTAATCCCAGCAGCCCAGGAGACTGAGATAGGAGGATCATAAGTTCAAAGTCAGCTTCTGCAATTTAGCAAAACCCTGTGTCAAAATTTAAAAATGGGCTGGGGATGTGGCTACGGTTAAGCACAGCTGGGTTCAATCCCTGGTACCGAGAAAGTCATCTTATGAGGCTAATATCTTCCTCATTATAGCAAAGGCTAGTGGTAATGTACTTTCACTCTGAGCACGTACCTACCACCTAACCATTTAGAATATGTCATTTAATTCTTGTGGCCCTAAAAGGTGTCTTTATGCCCGTTTTACAGGTAAGAAAATTGAGGATCGGAGACAAAATCATTTGCCTATATGCCCACTATAATAAAAAGTTTGGAGTGAATTTTTTTTTTGCGGGGGGAACATACCAGGGATTGAGCTCAGGGGCACTCAACTACAAAGCCACATCCCCAGCCCTATTTTGTATTTTATTTAGAGACAGGGTCTCACTGAGTTGCTTATCACCTCACTTTTGCTGAGGCTGGCTTTGAACTTGTGATCCTCCTGTCTCAGCCTCCTGAGCTGCTGGGATTACAGACGTGTGCCACCGCACCTGACATCTGGAGTGAAGTTTCTGAATCCAGCACCTTAGGTTTATGTGGCTTGTGGTTAGCACTCTGTTATGCATGGCTGTAGCTAGATTTTCTCTCCTGGGTATTTGTTTTGAAGTTAAAAATGTCCAAACTGAACAATTCCTGAAATTAAAGGATTTAGAATATATCCTTCTTGGTAAGAGGAACTATGCCATGCATTTTGGTTTCAGAATACCTACTAAACAGACCTGTCAGTGCCTGGGGTCCCTGCTCAGGATTGGCTGTTTGAAGACTGCTTGCTTATCAAAAGCAAGTTGGGATTCCAGGGTCAAAAGTAACTCAGGAGATCTGTCCAGATTCCTCATTTTGGTGGTGAGCAAACCTTGCTAGTGTGGACTCACTGCATTCAACTGCCAAGGATGAATGTCTGAGCTGGGCATATGCAAGTGTAATACCCCTGCCCACAAGAAGCCCACGTTCTAGAAAGAAAGAGCCACTCCCCACCGACGGTGTCATCTAGACAGCTGAGAGCTCTAATGCAGGAATAGATAAGGTGAGAGTGAGAACAGCAAGCCCCTGACCAAGACCTGGGGAGTCAGGGAGGCATCCAGGGAGATGACACTGAGATGAGCATGGAAGAACAAGTAGGAACTTGGCAGCCGAGGAGTGTGGACCAGAGTCCCAGGTGGAGGGACCACTGTGAAGCATGGAAGGAGGACATGACATGGGAATGCAGCATTTCAGAGGAGGGAGGAGAGTACCCTGTAAGCCCTCTGGGAATTTGAAAGTACCAGGAAGAAATTTTTTCCTTTATTTAAAAAATTCAAGGACTGGGGACCTGGGGATATAGTTCAGTGGTAGAGTGTTTACCTAGAAAGTTGGAGGCCCTAGGTTCATTCACCAGCACTACAAAACAGAAAATCGGGGGAAAAAAAAAAATGCTTGTATAGCTATTTTAGAAAAAACACATTTCCCAACCCACCTTCCTCACCCAGAGTTGAGAGGAGATTTCCCTGGGGAAATTTCAGGTATTTTAGGCAAGGATGGTAAGTGGTTGGGTTCAGATACTAGAAAATACCCCTGCCTGGCCTCTAGAACACTCAGGAAGGTGTTCTAGTTCTCTCTCTTTCTCTCCTCTCTATATTCACTTTAGCAAATCTACAAACAAGTCCAAGTGTTGCATGTTCCCATTAATTCTGATTGTGGCTAACAGCATTATGGGTATCTTCAAAAAGGGCCATGTCTCCAAGTGATGGAGGGGAGGCCACTCCAAACAGGGGCAATTAAAGAAGTAAAGATGGGGCAGAATGGGTTGAAGCCCCTGGCGTGTGATGGGATGATGGGAAGTCCCTTGAATACCTCCAGAGTTCTCTTTTTGCTAAGGAATAAAATCATTGCCTTTTCCCTGGAGGTGGTTGGAGTCAGGCATTCCTCTGGGCTCAGAGGTGCAGTTCCAGAGTTCACCAGCAGGTGGGGGCCTGCACCCACTCTTGGAACCACTATGGAAACCAGCTAGGACCTCTAGGGCTGCAGGGCAGGAGTTGGGCAAACAGGGACGGGAACTAATCTGACTTATTGTGACTTATTGTTGGTCACTCTGCCAGGCATTTTGTGTTGTCTGCCTGCACTGAGTGGGGGTGGTGGTGGTAGTATCCTCATTTTACAGATGGAGAACTTGAGGCTCAGAGCATCTAGACAAGGTCATACTGCAGGCATAGGATAAAGCAGGAGTTGGTGCCTGGCCCTGATGTGTTGGACTGTGAATAGCACAGGGCAGCTCCTGACAGGGCTGTTGCCCTGTCTGTTCTGGAGTCCAAGAGTGCTCTGGATTTAGGTCTCTTTCTGATTTTTCTCTTACTCAGTTTCCTACTCCTTCTTTTTTTGTGTTGCTGGGGATTGAACCCAGGGCCTTGTGCATGCCAGGCAAGCACTCTACCAACTGAGCCATATCCCCAGTCCAGTTTCCTATCCCTTTTACTGCCATCTCTGGTCCCTTTGTGGTAAATGGGGCTTGAAGTATTAAGTCTCTAAACCTAGGCCAGGCTAGGGCTAGGGAGCTCTTCATAGACACTTGCTCTCACTGCCTGGGGACAAGGTTCCCAACAGGAAGTGCAAGTGAGATGCCAAAGGTGCCCATTAGAAGAGAACATCCCAGGTTGGCTGCCTTGGCCTCCCCGTCTCACTACTGTGACTCTGTACAGCCTGTCCTCCCTCACCCACAACACGGTCCATGACTACTTCTCCTCCAGGCCATTCACAGCAGCATTAAGACTTGCCAATATTCCTACCATAATGAAAGACAAAGATGCCTGGCACGGGCGCAGCACACCTATAACCGGCAACTGGGAAGGCTGAGGCAGGAGGCTCACAAGTTCCAGGTCAGTCTGGAACAAAAAGGGTTAGGTTGTGGCTCAGTGGTGGAGCGTTTGCCTTGCAGGTGTGAGGCAATGGATTCAATCCTCAGCACCACATATAAATAAATAAACAAACAGGGCTAAGGATGTAGCTCAGTTGTAGAGAGACTTGGGTTCAATCCCCCAGTGCTGCAAAAACAAATAAATTAGAAAACAATAGAGACAGAGGCCCCAGCACAGACAGCAGCAGCAGTACTCTCGAATCAGAACCACCTGTAGGTGGCGACAGCAACCTGGCCCAGGGACTCAAACCTCCTCACCCCTTTTATTCTGAGAAAGCACAGGACTGGGGCCATTGTGGGTGGTCACTAGAGAATATCCAAACCACGGTCATCCTTGCATGCTTACAGCGGGACTGCAGGGCAAGCACTACAGGCTTGTCACGATGACCCCCAGCTACCTCCACCCCTCAGACCCTGACCAGAGCTGAAAGCAGCCTTGCCCAGGCAACAGGGGTGAGCACCTTCACCCAGACACTGTGGGCTTCCTCCCTCACCCTCAGCTCCACCTCCTGCAAGCCTCTCCCATCTGCCACAGGCTGGGCCCCACCCCGTCTCCCTCTCCCTGCCTGCCAAACCAGACTCTTCTACACCTAGACCAGAATCTTGGTAAAATGCAATTCACATCACATCACTCTCCAAAATTTCTGGGACAAAGGCCAAACTCATTCCTGACCCCCACGTGACCAGTCCCTCCCTGCCTCCCACTCAATTTCTTTCAGTTCTGCAATGTGCTCTCCTCCGTTTCTCTGCCCCTTGTCTTCCACTCACCCTCAGTCACCCTCAGTCACCCAGCACTTCCTCTGGGCAGTCTTCACTGGTCCCCAGGCTGCAGAAGGAAGGGCTGCTTGAGTAATTCTCACCCACTCTGTTTCCTGGCAACCTCATGCAGACCCTAAATAGATGGGCCAGAAATAGGGGCATGCCTGAGAGGGGACCTTCTCCTTCCTCCCCGGCAGGTCCCTGGATCCCTCCCCACCAGTGGGCAGCTAACAGCTAGAAAGAACAGCTTAAGTTCAGAGCTGTGGCCCTTCATCTGTGCCACCCATGTGGTCTCAGCCCTGAACCCAGGGACTCAGGAGTGCTGGAGGAGACAGTGCCACACTAAGTTTCAAGGAAAGTCAGAAACCCCTAGGGGAAGTAGAAGCCCTGAGGAGACAGAGTGAGAAGTTTCTGTGGAGCTCAGAGGTCTGAGAAAGGGAACTTGCCCAAAGCATCTTTCTGCACTGAGCTGCAGGGCAGGGTGGGGGGTGGGGGTGGGGGAGGGGGTTCTCACTGGTTCTCATTCTTTTCCTGGCCGAGAGCTTCAGGCACACATCTTCCTCTCCAGGTGGCAGCTTTCCT